TGGTTTTATTGTTTTTTGTCACTTTGAATAATATTTCTGTTCATGTTAAAAACAAAATCAACTCTCTGTATAAATATATCAGGTGACCGTTAAGGCCCATGGGCCTCTTGTTTCAGCTCATAGCCACATTTTCAAAATTGACAGTTGATTGTTGAAATTCACACATTCACTTATTACCGTAATTGAATGTTATGTCAGAATAAATAATGCACATTCTTAAAGGACTGTTTATTGTTGAAATATGTTTAATTTTCTAATTTGATATTTTATTTAAAATTCATAGCCTTCCATTTAAAACTGATCCTTATCTGTATCATTAATCATCACAGATTCAGTTCCAACTGAATCGTCTGCCAAAGTGTGAGATGCATGCAGCCATTGACAGACTCCCAACACTTGATCTAGTATTCCCACCACCGAACAAGTTCCCCACCACTTCCTGGGTCAAGGGCAGGTAAGATACAAAACTGTCTGTTTGGTGTTGGTGTCCCACAGTTATTCAATGATTTTATTACTAATTAAGAGTGTAATTATTGACATTAATTGTCTTCATTACTTCACATTTCTAATTTGTCTTCAAAGAAGAATTGTGATGAGCCCAAGGGCCTTTTTGTATATGAATCGGTCCATCTACTTTTAAACGTAATGTTTTCAGTTGTAAATTCATTGCACAGTTATACCAATATTTATCCTGCAGTAAGCCCATGCCTAGGTATACCCATAAACCCTTCCATCCTTTTCAGGGGCTTGACATTTATTTTCTTATATACTTAGTATCCCTTCAATAAGCCCATCCCAAAGTTTTGAACCCACATTTGATAGTTGGCCCCTGAAGATATTGCAAAATAATTACAGTAAATGTAAATACAGGCTTTAAAATCATTGCAACGGCTTGATAGCATCAGACCATCAGATCCATCCCTAATGCCTTCAATTTGTCCAAACTGTTAAGCAGTGAAAACAGCACTGCTGAAATTACCACATAGAAACATGCACAGATAAATAATCAACTAGGTCAACACACATACAGCTATTGAGGAAAACACATTTAAAGATATGTTAATGATTTTAAAGGAATTATTTTTGCATGGGAGATAACTCCACTGCTTTTCATAAAATAAGGGTAACCATTCTATTGGGCTAGAAACTAACCAACTTGGAGTACTTGTTATTAACTAATGACTCAAACATTTTACTCTCCATTGTTTCAGTCCTGAGTTGAGTGAAGTTGTCAGTACAAAGTTGAATGAGAAGCAGAGGGAGGCCATTTTGAAAATTACTGCTGAAGGCAATCTGTCCTTACCTCCCATCCTTCTGGTGGGGCCATATGGTACAGGAAAAACCTACACCCTCGCCCAGGCAGCTAAGCAGATCCTTCAACAGGATGATACTCGCATCCTCATCTGTACTCACTCCAACAGGTACAATAATGGCTACTGTTAATCACTACTCACTCCAACAGGTACAGTAATGGCTACTGTTAATCACTGTACTCACTCCAACAGTTACAGTAATGACTACTGTTAATCACTGTACTCACTCCATCAGTTACAGTAATGGCTACTGTTGATCACTGTACTCACTCCAACAGGTACAGTAATGGCTACTGTTGATCACTGTACTCACTCCAGCAGGTACAGTAATGGCTACTGTTGATCACGGTACTCACTCCAACAGGTACAGTAATGGCTACTGGTAATCACTGTACTCACTCCAACAGGTACAGTAATGGCTACTGTTGATCACTTTACTCACTCCAATAGGTACAGTTATGACTACTGTTAATCACTGTACTCACTCCAACAGGTACAGTAATGGCTATTGTTGATCACTGTACTCACTCCAACAGGTACAGTAATGGCTACTGGTAATCACTGTACTCCAACAGGTACAGTACTGGCTACTGTTAATCACTGTACTCACTCCAACAGGTACAGTAATGGCTACTGGGAATCACTGTACTCCAACAGGTACAGGAATGGCTACTGTTGATCACTGTTCTCACTCCAACAGGTTCAGTAATGGCTACTGGGAATCACTGTACTCCAACAGGTAAAGTAATGGCTACTGTTTATCACTGTACTCAATCCAATAGGAACAGTAAGGGCTACTGTTGATCACTGGACTCACTCCAACAGGAACAGTAATGGCTACCGTTGATCACTGTACTCACTCCAACAGGTACAGTAATGGCTACTGTTAAACACTGTACTCACTCCAATAGGAACAGTAATGGCTACTGTTGATCACTGTACTCACTCCAACAGGTACAGTAATGGCTACTGTTAATCACTGTACTCACTCCAACAGGAACAGTAATGGCTACTGTTGATCACTGTACTCATTCCAACAGGTACAGTAATGGCTACTGTTGATCACTGTACTCACTCCAACAGGACCGGTACAATATCCTGGCTTACTGTGATGTAGTGTTAAAATATAGTACATGTCAAAAGGGGATGCAATTACGTTCAAGAAAGAAAATGTATAAACCCTGATGTGTAATAACTAGTGTTATCACTCATTGCAGTACATTCGATACAGTAAGCTTATAAGCATACCATTTGACAAACTGATAGCCTAAAATGCTATAGTTGGTAGTGTATGCTGTATTGTGTAACAAATTAACTTAATATATCCAGCAAGCAGAATGCAGGAAATACTGCTAGTAATGGGGATGGAAAATTGTGAATCTCCCTCAAAAATACACTTGGCAAGTATGTATAACAAATAAATACTGATTAAATGTAAATATTCCAAGTCTTACCAATCAGTTTTTTTCTGTAGTGCTGCTGACCTGTACATCAAAGAGTTTCTCCACCCGATGGTCAAGGAAGGATACTTGGAAGCAAGACCGCTCCGTCTGTATTTTAGGCACAGATGGATACAGACTGTCCCAGAGGTCGTCATTCAGTACTGCATCCGAGCCACCGCTGGGTCGTCTGGCATCTTCAGGTGTCCAGTCTTAGAGGATGTGGAGAAACACAGGATCGTCATAACTACCCTTGGTACAGCGAGGTACCTCTGTGACCTTGACCTTGAGCCAGGTATGTTGGTTGATCTCAAAGAAAGTACTGTAAATTTTTGAAAGAGATTAATATTCACATAAATTCATGAAGGGACTCAACCTGAATTTTATACAAATTTGCCACAAATCAATTTCTTGGAACAAACAAGGTGCATATCAAATTGTGTTGAAATGCTTCAAGCTAGACTAGTCCCTTTGTCAAACTATGGCAAGTTTCAGCCATAGCTTCACAAACGGACCAGTTGGTCCTGAAACGTTGGGACAAGTTTGACATGTACGCTATATGTGTAAAAAAGTAAAACTTGATGAATCTTTTTGAAGATATTGAATCAGATATGTTACATAGCCCTAAGTATAAGCTAGGCATGTGATTAAGAAACAGCATTTCATCAATTGTGAGATTTAAAACTCTGATAGGGCATCATGCACAGTGTTATTATAATAAACAGCATGTTTTCTCACTGATTCATGGATCTTTCATGTCCTGGTCATAACAAAAATGAAGTTTGTAAAGGCAAATTTGATATGTCCATGTAGTTTAATAGTTGATTGTTGTTGGCAATTTAATGCTTCATTTTCTTACCATTGATTTGTTATAGGATTTTTCACCCACATATTTCTGGATGAGGCAGCGCAGGCTATGGAATGTGATAGTCTCATTCCCCTGTCTCTATGTGGACCTTACACACGTGTGGTTCTGGCAGGGGACCATATGCAGGTAAGTCTCATCGCTCATTTCTCATCTTGAGTGTAAAAGACCTACACTCCAATGGTTTTTAGCTGATATGGATCTTTTTTCACTGAAATCATGGGAGAAATTTTCATAAAATCTTTATTATTGACACATTAATGGAAATAAAGAGCATTGCTATTCCAATTTACATGCTATAGCCAGTCATATATAGATGTTTAGGTACCATAAGATATATTCAAATCCATATGAACTTTTGACATGTAAAATTTTCACCTTCAGCTGAGTCCGGAGATATACTCTGACCTGGGGCGACAACAGGGATTCCACAAGTCCATGTTGGAGCGACTGCATGAGTTGTACCCAGACGACGTCCCCTGTAAAGTGATGCTGTGTGAAAACTACCGATCACACTCGGCAATCATCGACTTCACCTCTGACTTGTTCTATGAAAGTCAGCTGATGGCCAGCAGCGACCAGCCCTGTCACCCGCTGTACTACCCACTAACTTTCTACTCGGCTCGCGGTGAGGAGGTGCAGCATGAAAACAGTATAGGGTTCTACAATATTGCTGAGGTAAGTTAGTGCAGGCTGTAACACTGCTGTAAATAGTGTTATATGTCAATGTAACATCATCCTGAATATTTGTATACATATTGATTGAATCTGGATTTTTCCAATGTTAATGAAAGTATAAATGGGGGAAACTTTATTTACACATCACAATCACAGCTGTAGCGAAGCTGATAAATATTACCAGAGGGAACTACAAGTTTTCACTCCATCTGTCAATTTTTGGTACATGTACTAATGTTTGTCCTAAGATGGAAGTCTGTGGATTGCTCGCAAATTTTTTCGATGTTTTCATGTCAATGTTATTTTAACAGTGTTCATGGTAAGACGAGTTTGACATATCATCACAATCGAGGGAACAGTAGTCATCATGTAACACTACTGTTCAAGCCATCAAATAAAAAAGCAATTCATGAGTGTGTGTATTGGAATTTTCAAAATATTAAATGCAAAAACAAAGCTGCATAAATCAAAGCATTCAGATTTTTAAAAAAATCATCTGTGAATTTAAAGTTTGTAAAATAATTGTTTTCAATAAAGAAAAAATACAGTTGCAATGAAATTTATTTTGAATGGTTGTGTTGGTAGGTTCATGAGGTGATTGATCGTGTAGATCAGCTTGTTAGAAGCTGGCCAAGCTCGGAGTGGGGCGAGCTAGGGGAGGGCTCTATTGGCGTGCTAACCCCCTACACTGACCAGGTAAGGTTTTAATGTATAATCATGAAATCCACTGACAGTACTTGAAAGCCAATGATGATAGATGCAAATTTAATTGCCCTTGTAGGGACCTCTAAAACAAGCTTTTTAAATGTGTGTTCTGATATCTAGGTTTCTAGGTATTGCAATATTTGTGTTCATCAATTTGGTAACATAATAATGCAAAATTACTGTAGATGGGAAAAGTGTTCTTGTTCAGTAATATTTTAATTCCAATGCTATTATATTGTTTTTGAAACATCACTAGGCTTCTTCATTGTTTGTGTCTCATCTGTGAACGTGTAATTTTATAGATTTGTTTTGTATCAAAGATGTACATTATATTTTTAACTATATTTTATTTTTCAAAGAGTTGTTAAAAAAAAAATATGTAACTAAACTTATGTTTTGATCTTATAATTTAAGAACCTCCCATGTTTATTATGATTAAGTCTCAAGATGTTATAAATTGCAATCCTATGGGGTGTATGATCAGCCCACTCCCTTATTGTCAAAGGAACAGATTCCATGGGGAAAGTAAATAAAATAAAGGAAGAAAGTTTGGCTTTGGTTTTATCACACTTTAAAATGACCAAACATCTTTTTATTCATCAAACATTTATAAGTATCATTTCTATTACAGGTGTTCCACATCCGATCAGAGTTACGAAAAAGGAAATATTACAATATCAAAGTGGAGCGAGTGTTTAATGTACAAGGTAAACCTCAAGATTAGTACATATCTTGACCTTCATTACCAAACAGCAACAGATGTAAGCTATGCTAGTTCTGTCCTTACAAAGCATATAACAGTACATACACATCAAATATTTAGCACAGTGGATCCAACTACCTATTAAAATAAGTAATAAAAACAAAGCACATTTCCGATTCAGTCATCATTAAAATATCCCATTTATTATTAAAAATTTCTTGCATATTGGATATTACACAATAAGTGGAATCCACTGTTTATATATGTAACAGGGATATTTCAGGTTTTTAATATGATATGACTTTTGGGCAATATTTCTATTAATTACCTTAATTATTGATAAGAGAGTTGTCACAGATATGAATTGTTGGCTATTACAGACTAATGGTCCATTTACACTCTTCTGTGTCGGGACCGTTCCAGACTTTTGACATACGGACTAATTATTGTGATAATATTTGTTTAAAATTGGGTGTTTTGTTTATTTGTATAGGTCTATAATAATTAAATCATCATCTGAGCTTCTTTCATGTGGTACCTATACTTACTATCCACAGGAAAGCAGTTCCGGGTAGTGATCCTGTCCACGGTTCGGACTCGACACAGCTGTAGCGCTGACACTATACAAGAGGATGTTGTCAATTATGGCTTCTTGTCCGATATCAAGCTCCTCAACACTGCCATCACCCGTGCACAATCCCTTGTCATGGTGATTGGTGATCCCGTCTCCCTCTGCCTTGTTGGAAAGTGTCGGTAAGTTCAAGCTCTAGCCAGAATCAGTTTGGTGAGAGGTCCATACAGGTGAAAGCTTGTTTTTCGGGCATCCCTTGGTGACATCAGTATTCAGTGTCTCAGTCAATTTATGATATATGTATCTACGTATGATAAAGTAGATAGTAGACAGATGCATGTTTTACAAAGAAAAACTTTTTTTTTTTTGTAACGAAGGTAAATTCATTATTGTATATTTTCCAATAAATAATAAATAATGGGAGACAGTTAAAATGTGTTGCAGGTTGTGTAGATGATATCGCAGTGTTGATTATTTTGAGAACATTAATCCTATTGTATTATCAATGTAAGTGCTGAGAAAATTTGTCATTTGACATTAAATCATAGTACATTTAATGATGTGTGTGTTTTGTATAAGTTACTGTAACTGGTAGGCTAACAGACTAACGGGGTTTTTCTCTTTGAAAGAAACATCTGGGAGTACTATCTGGAAATTTGTCATGACAACAACAGTATATTTGGTACCACCTGGAACCAGCTGAAGACCCAACTTACGTCGGCCGACATGCGCAAGACGTACATTCTTAACCCTCTCGCCCCGGAGTTTGTACCAAATAGAGTCTTTCACATCACTACACCAGAACTTACCCAGCATGCAATTTCAGGGTCACATGCTAGTAATCATGGCATTACTCAACAGCCGCAGTACTACATGGGCCAAAGGATGACCTACCCGGGTCAGCAGTTCACTCATCCACAGGTAAAGATGAAAGTACGCTTTGTAATGGGGGGGGGGGGGATTCTACCTTTTCTATCAATTTTAAATGTATTTATTAAGATACCACTGTATAAAAATTATTTGATGAAATATATGTTTTGCTAAAATCTTTGCCAATATTTATTGGTAACATGTATTATCTTTAAGTTATTAACCCCTAGTGCCGGTAGGCCCCTGACTTAAGTTGTGTCAAGCCTATGAATAACGTCTTAAAATAAATTTATGATGATGTTGTTTACCTGTTGATTGACTGTATTTGATACAAACATTATGCTGAAATGTTTAAAAAAAAAAAAATGACATAAAAAGCAAAGAGAGAAATTCCATTACTGGTATTATCAAAAAAGATGTCCTTTAAATAGATCACTTTCCAATGGTTTATTATTGAATTGAGATGGTTTCATAGCATTGCTATTTTCATGCATAAATTTTTGCATTTTTTTTGCCTTCAATCTTGATAATGGCAATCCTTATTATAACTGTCATGGAGGGGGGCAATGGCAGCATTGTCTTTGGAACGGACTACACACTGCTACTTGAGTTGATATGTCCCTTAAATCTATTTATTTAGAAAAGTATTATACCAGTAGTTCAGTTGATTTGAAAATTAATCCAAATTACCAGTCATATATATTTCAGTTTTATTTAAAATGAGGTTCATGTCAGGATCAGGTGGTATATTTCCTCAAAACCAATTTTGCTTTTTAATTCTGAGAAATGTATGACTGATTTCTGTGTTCTCTTTTCAGATGTTTCCTCAGCCCTATATGCCAGTACCCTACCCAGGCCTGGTTCCACATGTTGTATTCAATAGACAGGGTATGCCGCACATTGTCGGGTCTCCAGCCCAGGGCAGACCACCTGTACGAGGCTATCACCCCCGTCACGCATCCCCACTAGCAGCCATCCCAAAGATCAGGCCAGGCGATAAAGACAAGGTCAAGATTGACCCAACACAACCTGATGTAATATTGGCAGGAAAGAAAATGCCATCGGGGGCCCATCGTGGACGGCAGATTATGTACATGCCTCAGCGTATGTCAGCAGCCTATCAGCAAATGTACTATTACCCGCAACACTACGGAGGATACTACTACATGCAGGACGACCCCAGAGTTCTAATCAACCAGCAGCACCCACGAGGGCCTCTATTGCACCAGCTTGGGCCACATGCACAGCATCCGAGTCAGTTTTACCCAATTCTTCGTCCACACTACGCCTCGTTGGGGCCAGATGATGCAGAGGACAAGCGCAGCTCTCAGACATCTTCTCCTGCATCCTCGCAAGGTCGTTCAGGGTCACCCGCTACATCTCCAGGATCGTCAGTTGCAAGTCAACAGATTCAGCTCCTTCCAAATGTCCGTCATGTGCCGATTCACCTGTTTCCAAAAACAGCCACTTCAACAAGCAGTTCTCGCTCGAGTACACCACAGCGAACAGAATCACCTCAAAGGACACAGGACACAGGTACCATTGCAGATCCACAAGCTTCACAGAAAATTGAGGCAGGTTACCTGAAATCTTCAAGTCCTGCCTTGGAGCATCAGGAGAGAAGAGGATCTGCGAATAGCCCTCTTGCTAGGGTCATTGCTTCAGCTCAGCGACAGGCACCAACAAATGCTGAGGGTGGACTGGTACTTTCTACTCCATACAGTAGTGGTTTCGGTGATATGATTATGCCAGGTCAAAATGGAGACGTGAATGATTTAGTAAAGAAGGAAAAACAAAAGCGGACTCCTGTAGGACTACGACTAGAAACAGGATTCAGTCGTCAGTTTAGTGAAGATCTGGAAACCCCTACAGAGATCACAGACTTAGTGAAGATGATGGATGAGACAATAGATGAAGGGCATGAATCAGCCGAGGAGGAAGAAGAATGGAACAGACAGCAGACATCAGAGAGCAGCTCATTCTTTGTGTCCCGTACAACTTCCAAGACTACTTCACGTAAACTTCATCTTAAGATTCCTCAACAGTCCTCAATAGAAACTTCAGAATCATCAGGATCACCCCCATCTAGCCCTCCTGGTCAGGATCAAAATCAAAAACCAACATATGCCGGAATGCTGCGTCGTCGACTTCCTTCAGCCACAAATGACATTGATCCAAGCCTTCTTGAACCCCAGACTCCCCACACTCCTGCTGGCTTCGTCTCTCCTGGGACCGACATTGACACAGACCCATTGGGAATCCTGAGAAATCTGAACATCAATGCTTCAACAGAGAAACAGAGAACTTACAAGTACTTCTCGTAGATATGTGAAAAAAGTTACAATTACTTAAGTGAGGGTTTGCTACAAAATCTATTCATAAAATGTGAGGCAAAGCTACTTTGTGTCAACAGGAAAGCAGAGTTGTTACAAAAATGTCTCGTTAAATGTATATAGTAACCTGTGTTGAAACAAACAGAATGTTTGCAGTTACATTAAGTTACCACAGAATTTTGACACAGTTATATAAAAATTAATGTAGATATAGTGTTTCTATTTTAGAAAAGAAAGAAGAGATAAGATGGAATTGTAATTGTGTTGATGAGTGCACATTTATTTTTATAAATTGACTATGGTAAGTGCGAATACAGGCTGTATATAAATCCCTGTTGATTCCTCATTAAGGGCTGTACATATTTTTGTCTCTGGATTTGCTATTGGTTATAGGCTAACTTTTATCGCTGTTAATTGTCTTTTCACTATGAAGTAGGGTATAAATGTGTTGTAGTGGCAGGATATCATCTTCTTGCAGGTTCTTTGATAGAAATCTTTGCTTTAACTACTTGTCATTCTCAGGATGAAAATAATCAGGTTTTTGATGATGGCCTTTCTTGAATATTTATAAATTGGTGTTATTTTTGTGGTAAAAGTAACGGAATAGATGATTTTACTGGATTAATGACATTGCAGTTGGTATTGCAGGCTGGCTAGGTAGAGAACTATTGTGTAAGCATCTTTTGTTAAATACTGATAAGTAGTTTTGGATGATATTGTATCTATTTCTTGGTGTTTTCTGTGTTGCAGTGAAATGTTACAGAGTTATCTTCCCTTTTTGACAAAGGTGTTATCTCCCATCTGACAAAATGGAACAGTTTGTCAAACTTTCAGAGTTCTGTGCTTTTGATCACTGGTTGATCACATCCTTTATCTTAACAAAGTGTATATCCCCTTGTCACTGTTTCCTGAAATCATCCTACATGATTATCTGCCCTTGATTTATTGAATTTTTTTTTGTATCAGACTGTGAAGATGTAGGTTCCTTGTTACTGACAAACATGTACTATCCATACTTCAGAGTTGCCCACCCTTGATTCATGGAGTGTAATATTGTAAAGTAGTTGTTGATGGCTTATTTCACCAGACTCCAGAGTTGTCTGCCCTTAGTCACTGGTTTGACAAGGTTTGTTGCGTACATTCATGCACATTTGTCAATCACTCAGGTGTATATGTATATAGTGTAATTAGCACTTCATTGGTTTATACTTAATTTAGAGAACCTTAACTTGAATATTATTTTCAAAAAAATAGATCTAATTGAAACATCCAATTTGCTATGACATGCTGGCAGATTTTATTTCTGACCATGCATGCTTCATGGTTGGATGATGTGTAGGTTATTTATCACAAATAGCTCTATTTAGTTTAAGACGTAGACTTTATCCCAACAGTTGTAATGAAAACTGTCCGTTATTCTTTTTTAGATGTTTAAGTGCATGTGTACTATAATAATCAATAGTAGTTTGTTGTGTGGCGTGTATATATATATATATATATATTTAGTAACAGCTTATCTAAGTATAACAAGACATAACCTGATTAATTTTCAATCAGTTTTTAAATGTGTACAGGTATTTCCTATATATATAGGATCTTACATGAGTGTCAATTTCATACGAGTTTCATAATTTCATATGAAATGAAAACAAGTGTAGGATCCTTTTTATCACATAATCAAGATTTGTGGCATTTATTCATGTAAAACGACATTATTCATGCAACCTTGAAATGTAAAAAGCCGCCATTTTGACTCCAGTGCGTGAGTCTGTGATGTCATGTACTTGTCCTAGGCGTGATGTCACAATTAAAACAATTGAAACTTACAACCAACCACAGGGCTGATAGGTCATATTACATGCATGGGTTAATACGCAAAAATAATGACATGGGTATATTCACTGGATAACACTGTACATTATGTGATAAATACTCTTAATTGATTGTTAATCGATTGCTTTGTGATTTGTTGGAATTTCAAGTATTTTAACAAAAATTAGCATTGCAGAAGAAGTGACCAATCAACCAAATGGAAGAAAGCAGACAGGCAGATAGTTTGATATATAAAGCCATAGCATAAGTCATTTATGTTGCTGACCTATTTTTACATAGAAAGATTAAATGATGAAATACTCTTGACCCTTTCACCACTGTAGACCATAATGGACTCAACCAGACAAATGTATGGTAGAGTCTACTAAAGTAACCTAGGGGTGAAAGGGTTAAAGAGCAGAAATACACCATCTTTAGGGTCAGTTAGGTTATTAGATAGCTGGATGTAAGGTATCAGAGTAAGCTGTTTTAATTTGACAGTTGGACAGGTCTATCGTCTGTTTTACAGGGTTTAATATTTTTTTTATACTGGATAACAGATTTTGTGAAGATCTGGCAATAAGCCCATCCAAACCTATTGCAGTTCTGCAGAAATGCAAACAAACGCTATTTTATGAACCACTTATAACTCAAACCCTCGACTTTTAAGTGAGAGATGATGTTTTGGCCCCCTTATCGTAGGATATATACGGTAGTCTACAACATGTGATAATAGAGTGCTGTAACTGTCGACTGACTCAAGGAGCTGTGCTTTTTCTGTTGATTGTTTATAGGCTTGTTTGTTTGTTTAGAGTTAAGTTGACAGTAATTGCGTTTTATTGGTTGAATTTTTTTTAAACGTTTGACAAAATATATAACTTGATAACTTGTAATAGAAAATTAAATACTGATTTATTGGGAAAGGAATCCTGAATTATTAAAGATCAATTCTTTGGATTGAGTGTCTTTTTTCTAAAAACCCTACTAATTTCCAAGATATCTATGCTTTCATTTTGCAAGTGTTTTAATTTTGTGATTTGTTTTTTTGCTTGTAATACGTCAGTTGTAAATACATGTACCAGCAAAATATCCAGCTAAGATATCGGATTCCAGTGAATGTGTTCAGGTGACAAAACAAGAATCATTGGAGACAAGGAATACTGTTAAAACTGACATTACTTGTGTAGTCCTTTTTGGCTGGAAAAAAAAAATCAATTTAAGTAGAATGTTGGTGATTCAACTGTATGTTTTAATTTTCCACCATGTTTAATAAGAAAAAGATCAATGAAGACTTATAAGTTGGAAATGGTTCTGCTGTTCTAAAATGACAGAAGCAGTGTTGATAACAATACATGTACCATAGGTTCTGTACATTTAAGCAGAAAAGTGCTTGGTGTTTTGTGTTTTCTCATGTACTCTGCATTGTGTGGATATATATAGCTTGATATATCTTGTTTTTAACGTGTAGTTAATGACCAGAGGAAATTCCGTGTTTGGCCATTTTTTCAACCAAATGAAAATCTACCATACTAGAAAAAAATATGGCTTGGTCATGTTCAGGTGTCTATTCTGAAAGATGGGATTGAGTTTCATCAGGGTTGTATTGTCAACTTTAAGACATCAATTTGGGAAAGAAAAAAGATATTTCTAAAATATGTAGTGGTAAGTGCTTTGTATTTATATATATACACTGTAGATATATATATATAATTGTGGATTTTGATTCAAAACCTCAAGAGTGAAATATCTTTAATATTTGGCGTTGTCTGTTACTGGTCTGGTTTTGATATTTGGCGTTGTCGGTACTGGTCTAGTTACCTGGTTACTATTTTTTGCCAATGTTTTGCTTGTTAAAAGTTTTTTCTGGTTTAATAGTTGTTTTACGGCTTTGTTTGTAGTTTAACATCCCAATTAAGATTTTTTTATTAGTTTTGTTAAGAGTCAAATGAATATATAATGTATATATACATGGCATGACCATATTCTGTTGTTAATATGTGAGGTAGTAGTCTAAGATAAGGCTACTATTTCTCACAGAATATATCAAAAAAACATTACAGATCCTTGTGTTTAAGATTCTGATATACAAATGTTACAGATGTATGGTCAGAGCTGGACTCCTGAGTTCCATACAATTTTGCCTATTTTATGTTTAGAAAAGATAGCATTACCAGGATCTATCTAACTTATTTTGCTGTAAAAGACTGACTGATCACAACATAAGCCAAGCTTTTTTCTCTCTTTTTTTGTGATATATGTACATTCAGTACAGGGTAGGTTAAGTCTCAACCAGGAAAGTTCATTCAACACTGTGTTAATTTTAAATGGGGCACAATTGTAACAGCTTACAGTGATATTGTCAGTTTTGTAGGAGTGATATTATAGTGTCGACCAGAGTTTTTAATATTGCTATAAGGATAACTCATAAATTGACATTGAACTAGCTTAGTACATAAGTTTGAGATTAATTTGTTTCAGGCAGAACTTAGATTTTCGTGTTTAATGACCATGAAGAAAATCAATCTGAATCTGTACACTTTGCTGTTAGTCTTTTTTCAACCTCGTATATTGATTGATTAAATATTTCTGTATTGACTTCTGTCGGTAATGACTTCAGTCAATTTGACCCTTCAGATTTGACATCTCTCAGATTTATTACTGTTAGTGCACGTGTCCCCTTACTGATTCTGCCTTCCCCACCAAAAAAAAGGAAAAGAGAAAAAAAAACGTAACAAAAAATGAATGCAATTTTAAAATTAATCTTCCATCCCTATGTAACTTTAGTAGACTCTTCCATTCTCTGATCTGGATGAGTCCATCATGGTCTACAGTGGTGAAAGGTTTAAGGCTTCAATCAGAACTATTTCACTATTTTAAGAAGCTGTATTGTTTTAAGATATGTTTTACTCAGTCATATGACCTTAACCTGCTGGGAAATTTCATGTTAGTCTCCTTAACTTTACATCAATTATCTGTTAGCATTAACCCCTGGAGACACATTTGAACTCTTCCAATTCAAAGGTTGGAATAGTTCATTATGAAATTTCAAGGGTGAATGAGTTAAGGTGATCATTCTTAAGAAGAATCCCATATTTTTTTCTAAATAAAATTACTTGTGTTTTTTAATTATTATCCCATAATGGCATCTGGGTAACAGTTTGAACTGAGATGGTAATAGGTTGAAGAATTTTGGTTGTTTTGCTGTCATGCTGTGGTAACTCTGTCATTTAAACTTGCATTTTAACATAATCGTCTGTAACAGTGTAATCAAACAGTTATATTACTGTTTTATACCTCTATTATTGAAATGCTTTATTTTCATAATCAAATGTGATTCCTGTCAAAATTCAATGTGATTTCAAATACCTGCTGTCCTCAGGAAAAAGAGTCTTCTAATAGAAAATACACAGGCTAAGTTGTGGGTAATCTCTTGTTTAGGTAAGATCATTGATCAAGCTGAGTTCTGGTTCATGCTAGTTCCTGCTTCAAGCCAAGTTCAAGATAAATGTATTATCTGGTTCATTCTTAATTTTCTGGTTCAAGATATTTTCAATTTTAGAACTAAAATATATTGTACAGGTACTCAAGGTGTTGTTTACTTGAGGAGACATGTATGTGCGTCCTCAATTGTCCCGCTAGTCTATGTGAAAGGTTGACTGTACCCCCTACAAAGACCTACCGAGTTAGATCACCAGTTACATATAACAGTCACTTTTGATGCAAGTTTTTCATTGTACAGTGTACATGATAACCCTTTCACCCCTATGTAACTTTAGTACACTCTACCATGAATTGATCTTGATGAGTCCATTATGGTCTACAGTGGTGAAAGGGTTAAGCACAATGTATTTGTCGTAGGATGTTCACTTTATATATGGATATGGTACTAAAGCACTTTTCCCCATGTAATCCCGTTGCTATGATTTACAGGGATTCAATCTATAAGAATAGGTTTCTAGGCTTTCTTAAATGGTATTGTCTGTAACATGTTTGTTTCTGACTACAAAAAGTGTCTTGAGGGCAAATTTTTCTGACTGTCAGATTCTTCATGAAAAAAGATTACACTGTACAATGTATATGTACATATGTGAAAAAGGTTACGCCTTCACCGAGTGTATCAGTGATACATTACAGGAGTAAGTATTAAGATCGTACATCAATTTAGAAATAAACCGGTAATTTTTTAGCCATTGCTGACAGGTGATCAGTGTGAATCAGTTATGAGATGTAAACTTACATAGTAAATGACTGTACTTAAGTTTAGAAAATGCCATGTAGCTAATCATATTGGATTTTCACGAGTTCCATTGTAATTGTCTGGTATGGTCTCTGCTTTGCAACACGTTCGCTACCAACAGAAAAAAACTTGATTCAGCCAATGATATTTACCATAACAAAAAGGAATATATATTTGTGCATATAAAATCAAAATTTTTATAGTTGAATTAAGTTCTGACAAAAGGTGATAAAGAAAAGAAATTTTCAATATTTCATCATAAAAATTGATGTAAATTGTTCATATTACATAAGTTTTAAGAAGAAAAAATCATAAAAAAAAACTTCATATTGATTTTGCTGTGATTTATTCATGTGTAAATATTGCATCCAATTTCTTTGGTTGAAAAGAGTCCAGCTTTAAGAAATATAGCCCTATATTGACTGTGGTGGTAGGTATTGTTTTGAGATGATGTATGTTGTAGGTAACGAGAAACAAACCCGACTTTATTTTATTGTTATCATATTTGATGTACAACTGTACTAGATTTTATATAGCTAACCTGTTTAAGCTCGAATCTGTTTATCCTCGCCTAAAAGTCACAAAAGACGAAACTGACTTTTTTACATAGTAATGTCTTAGAATGTTTGGTCGACAGGTGTAGAAACTAAATAAACTGGAAAAATAGTTTAATCTAATGAAGCATTTTGATAAAGAGATATTTAAAAAAAAAAAGAATATCATATTTTACATTCACGTAACAATTATAACAACTACTGACATTCAAATTTACTTGGACTTAATTTTCATAGCAACATCTTTAAATAGAAACAATTAAATTGATGATTTTTAGGTGTCCCCTGAATTGAAAGCTCAGATTTTGAAGAAAAATATATTTCTATCTGACAATGGTGTCAGAAGTCGCCATCATGTGATAAAAAACGAAGAGTCTTGCATTTATTTATTGTATTTATTACATCTAATGTAATTTGAATTATTTCATTGATGCTTGTCAGAAGGTTTGTGACAGGAAATTTTTCACCTTAATTTTGACACTATGTGTACAACATCCTAATTTTAATGCAATCAATTCACTTTTATAAGCTACTTGCCCAGAGGCTTGTAACTGGAAATTGTTCAACTTGATTCAAAAGTTTTTTAATGTTAGGACACTTTTGTGTAAAATCCTCATTGATACGTTAAATCATTCAATTTTACAGTTCACATTATTTAACAGTTCGAAAAAGTTGGTTTACTTTTATAATTTTTAAAATTTGTTTGTGTGTAATGCCCCATAGTATATAGTATCGCATTTTGGTCATATATAATCCTCATATAGCAACATAAGTATATTTTAGCTTGCTTGTGTGATACAGGTGTAACTAGGTAGATCAAGTGTTTCCATGGAAACTCAGCATGTTTGCAATTTCCATGGTAACCTAGTGTAATGACGGTTACAGCCGGAAAAGGGAAAATATATATACATCTCATAGAAATTTACTTTTGTACTATATAAGAGCAAATATAGACTTTAAGAGTATGGAACAAATATTTAGAATTCATTCGTAACTTTTGACACAGTCGATGACTAGTGAAGTGAAACGCAACAAATTTCTGCAGATTTGTGCAAAAGATAAATATATAAATATAGATATATATTATATTATGTATAGCTTGTATATAGAGTTGTAAGTAAGGGTCAGTTATGTAATTAAGTTTTTATGGAAGATTCCTTTGTGTTTGTATATTTCCAGTTATGGACTGTTTAATGGTGTGGCAGCCATTTTCCTGTTCCTTCTGGTAGCCACGGGTCACAGTGGTCACACGTCCAAGATCTCTCGGCAACACATATTTTAGGCCATATTACACATTGCTGCTTTAAAGGAAACTCTTGATCCTTAGGTTAATATGTTCAAAAAGTTACAATAAATATTTTTTGTTGATTTCTGGGCGATATTATTTAGAAAGGTGATTTGAAGAGTTGCTAGCTTGTTGGCCTGGGCTGTGTTGACACTGAAACGTAACTAGGAGGGGAGAACAGAGAAAATGTTCAGTCTGTTACATCAACTTAGTACTCACACTGTAGTTGTAGTGGTATATTAAAAACTCTTGCACGTTTCATTGGTGTTTGACTTTTTATTATCATTTATTACTTTGATGTGTTATAAAAATTTAGATTGTAAGAAAGGTTAAAAAAAAACACAAATATTTGTGTTTCGTGTTTCCATACCTTATCCGTTTTTAGCTCACCTGATCCAAAGGACCAATGCGAGCTTTTGCCGCACCTTTTCATCCGTCAACAATTTCTTAAAACAACTTCTTCTAAACCGATTATAAGCATGCATCCCTAGGTGTTAAGGGTTCAAAAGTGTACAAATAGAGGGGCTGACCCACCAGGGGGTTGGAGGCAAAAGGGGTAAATTGGCAATATTGCTTTAAGCAAATTCTTCTCTGGAATTAAACGATGGATATCAACCATATTTGATTGGAAGTATTCTCAGTTAGTGAGGATTCAAAATTGTACAAATGATTGGGATGACCCCTGGGGGGTGGGGGCGAGTTCAAAAAGGGGTTAATTTTGATTTGAAGCATCCTTAGGTGGTGATGATTCAAAATTGTACAAATGGAGGAGGTGACCCTCGAGTCTGAAGGGTATGGCTAAAAAGAATTCTTAACTTGGACATTATGAATAACTCCACCCAAAACATGTATACAATTGGTGAGTATATAGAGGCAAACACGCAGATGCTTTCAGGATTGCCCGGGTCCTGCCCTACCCTTAGAGACTTGTCACTGGATCATAAATTTGAAAGAGTAGAGTTTCCTATCCCATAACCATATTTTCAAACGCTGGGCATAAAGAGATGTCATCATCGTATTATCTTGTTGTCGCCGTTGTGTTTTTGCGTTGTCAACTTTAGGTCGAGGAAGCGGATTATGTGACTTGTAGTTTGGCCATAACCGACTACCACATATATTCCTTCAGTTGAAACTATACAGACCTATGAGACTTTGGGTCATTATACCGGTTTTGGGGGAGGGGTATTTGGTTTGACCACATGTTCTTGTTAGTGTTTCTTGTTCCAAAAGTCCATTGCTGTCTCTCTCAACAAAGGTACTGGATAATAACCTTGAATTCAGCTGAATAATTTCTGAAGCTTGGGGAATTTATTTCCCTAGAGCGGTCACTATACGATAAATCATTTAATTCTGATGGGAGGTAGTTCTTTTTGTACCTAGTCTAGAATAGCTCAGTTTCTTTTATTTTGTGTGGGTTCCAAACACACACGATGCATTCAAAATGGGGTCAAACTAGGGCTTTAGATAGTTGACCGAACGATTTCGTTTAGATTTATAAAGCTTATAAAACCCCAACAATTCCACAAGCCTTATGTAACATGTTGTAAATAACATGTAAAGTTAAGATTTCGGTCAGCGGTTACTCTAAAGCCCTTTTCAGTTGATATATATATGCTTTGTAGTTTAATGCAATTATTCCTTGATCCTGGCATAAAATAGCTTCTTTGCTTTCCTTCTTTCCTTTTTGTGTTGCCTACGAAAAGCTGGTGACACATAGGTATTGCTATGTCGGCGTCAGCGTCATCGGCACAGGTTTTCGTGCGATAACTTAGTTTCCTTGGGCCGATCAAACCCAAACTTCATGCAGTGCTAAGCACAATCTCCTAGCTTCCTGTGCAGGCGACACATCCACTTCCATGGAATTCTTGTATTGGAAGAAGTTCTCACATATATGTTTTTGGCAATAAAGTGGCCATATTCCTGAACAAGATGAGCCATCCAAGGATACTGGACTCGCATTTAATCTGTATGTCGTTGACAACGCCTGTGCACCCGTGAAAAATATTGGTATTATGCCATACTCATGAAATTCATATGGTCTTATAGAGGTATATGGTCAAAAGGAAGGGTGTCTAAAAGGCCCTTTTTTGGGCCCCAGTATATTCAGATTTTCACCTCCTTATTTTGTTCAAAGATGTCCTATTGTATGATATGCGGAAAAACTAAGGTAAAACTTTGACCGAAAATGGGTTTCTGGGGGTACCAAAAGGGGTATGGTAAATCACAAATATAGTTTGCTGTTTTCAAAATGAGCTTAAAAACCAAAATAATACCATTTCTGTTTTTGAAAACATGTATATATTAGACTAGCATATGTAACAGAATGAAAAATGATAGAAATTCAGTCGTCACTTAAAGATTGTTTATATAAAACGAAGGATTACGTCAGGGGGGGTCTTTTTTGGTCATTTTCAATTGAAAAGTAATTTGTTTTCTCAATAATTTCTTTTCTAATTAATATTTTGACTTGAAATTTACAACTTCACTCTTTTAAGTAGACTTACATAAATTGCATATTTACTACACACTTTCCTTTTGTTTTATACTGAGTTATGGCTTCTGGACACATCTCAAACTTGGCTTTTTCAAATATCTCTCAATTTTAAGTGAATTAAAAGGTGCATGACACCCGTTATGTGCTATAATTATAAGATATCAATTGTTAGTATTGTATATTATATATATCATATAATATTTGCCCAACACCTGTGGCTGAAGTGAGTTCCAGGTCCTGATTTGTTTTTTTACTTATCAAAGTTAACTTACAAATCAAAAATGGCATTTGCCACCACAACTACTGTAAAATGATTGATTTAATATATGAAGTTTGATTTGCTGGTAATTTTAAGTCTCCTAGCCTCAAGGAAAGTATCTGCTTTAATCGTTAAAGTTAACTGATTTCATTGTTTTATCAAATGTTCTGCCTATTTCCAATGTTTATCCGCTGATTGTACATAAAAGGCATTTGTGGATAAGCATGTAACTGTTGGCATAGAGTTTATTTATATGATGATATTTAATTTGTGAAAGTTTCATACTTATCCCACAATGCCTTTTTACTTAAAATACATTTTCGCGTGATTTAGAGTACAAGGACCAAAGTGCATCTCCTTGCCTATCACCAAATATTTCCTGACAATACTAGTCTATATGAATGTATGTAGATTAAACAGGCTCAGTAGAGTATTTATAGTAGTAAGAGGGGCGTTTGACATGCTACACTGACCAAAAGTCAGATAGTTTATGCTTGGAAAACGCAAAAAGAGACTAAGTTGTTCGTTCAAGTTAGTGCTTGCAATTAACAGTTAATCCTTTTACATGTTTTCAAAAACAGAAATGGTATTTTTTAAGCTCATTTTGAAAACAGCAAACTATATTTCATTATTTGTGATTTACCATACCCCTTTTGGTACCCCCAGAAACCCATTTTCGGTCAAAGTTTTACCTTAGTTTTTCCACATAGCATACAATAGGACATCTTTGAATAAATAAGGCGGTGAAAATCCGAATATAGACACCCTTCCAAATTGAATAGCATCTCATATTCGTTTGTTTCGCGGTAGCGCAACACAACAAGTACATGCGCAGCTGCTATCACCTGTTTTAAAACTTTGTTGCCATATATCAGAACTATTCAAACTAACAGTCGAGACGATGTGTGTGTGTTTTTTAAAGAAACATAAAACATTCAAATAGGTTAAGAAGTTTAAGACGTTTTTTGACGGGTTTCACATTTAAATTTTAAGGGAAAGGTGACAAAACATTTTGAACAACTGAAGCGGGCCTATGTACTAAGTCGGCTATGTGCTGGTTGTTATCCTTACGGGTTGCGGATATCGATACTTGTGACCAGTACCTGTGTATGCGTGTCACACAGACGACACACCATATACTGCACAACGCACACACGCCACTTTCAGAACAACACAGGCTGTTGTTGTCCAAGTAGATACACTAGCAGTCGCCATGAGCAGGAGTGCCCCTCACCACCGGGTTCTAGTCCTAGGGGCAGGGCTAGCCGGACTCGCCTCTGCTCATTACCTCAAAGAATCTGGAATTACGGACGTCGTGGTTCTGGAGGCTGACCAGAGGTAAGTATTCATAGAGGCAAACGCACGTGGTATGACTAAAGCTCGCATAGGGCCATACTAACGATCGTTATTTAACTAACAATTCTAGCATAACGACAATCGTTCGTAATATATATGATGTTCAGTGACAGGTTTACGCAAATAATGCACAAACAACATTTATAGTATTATTTAGACATAACCTGTGTTCTATATTAAACTGTCGATTAATATAACCTGGTATGGCACGAGGAAATTACAAAAATCAATTTTGAGAGACTTTACAAAAGTATCACGCATCATAAGCACACGAAGATAAAGGCCTACATAAATCTACGTTTCTGATAAACGTGATGACTTTTAGGTTCAAACTCGTACATCCGCAAATAAACACGTTCTAACGCAAAATACCCACGTTCTTCTGCAAATGAACACGTTCTAACGAGAAAGTAAAAGTCATAATAGCGAAAAGATCATGTAATAATGTGAAATACACACGTATTTAACATTTAAAACATTTTACTTAGTCAAAACTGAAAACAGAATTCAATAAATGTATTGACCTCTTAGGTGATACCTAACTAGGGGGGTCAGTAACCTTCATGCGTCTAGCCCAATTGAGAGAGAAAAGGACTAAAGTTAAAAAAAAAACCCACTAACCCAAGACATGAAATAACAAGAGACTTCATCATATGTGTTGGAAGTCATGCCAGTGTACAAAGGTAAAATGACTAATTTGTTTTCATTATCTCTATACATACGAAAAAATATAAAGTTCCACACTTGGTAGCGATGGAAAATAGAACAAGGGGCTTTTACGGTACGCATCCTGGAGCTGTGGCCCCCACGGGAGTTCCAAAAAATCAAGTAGTTGTTGACAACCACCACCACCCGACACACAACTGCCTTCCGACACCACCCGCCCAACCACCCCC